TATTAGATTTGATAAAATTTAATTAATTCAAATTGTTTTTAAGAAAAGTTTTAAATTCATTGCAATCCATATTAAGTTAGTTTAATGTAAATTTGGAATTTTAATAAATCAATGTTTTTTAAACGGCTATAATTATTTTGATGCTAATAGATGTAATTTTATTTATAATTTTTTCAATATACTTTCTTTATTTTTACTATTTATATATTATATTTATTTTAATGTGCTAAAAACGTTTACTATTTTAGGAATTTTTGCTGTAATTTTAAACAATTATATTCAACATAACAATATTTTGCTATAATAATTCATAAATCAGTTGATTGTTTTGATTGAATAATATTTAACATTTCTACAAACAATATGCATTATAGGAAATTATTTTATTTCACATACAGTTCAATTGAATTGTAATGTTTTAAAACATTCGCAGCCTTTCTGAATAATTTGTTTCGTTACTGTTTTCGTAGTTTTTTACATAAATTTTTCAATATTAAAATAGAGAATATTTAATATTGCTCTGAAACCTCTTCAGAGAACAGTACTTAAAGTGTTCGAATAGAGAACAGTTTTATGAAATAGAGCACAGGTGGTCACACTACTTATATTACCATATATTACTATGAACCATGATTGATAGTCATTTTCATCTGTTTAGCATTTTTGCAAATATTTTAGCAAATTAACAATAATAATTGATATAAAATAAAATAAATACAGTATTAATTCAATTAAAAATATTTTAAACCAAAATTCAACATGATACATGTTGTTTATACTGTAGAATTACATACTCCATAATATCTTATCATATTTACAATATATTATATGAAAGTGAATACAAACTCCAGAGACAATCTTAAAAATATATTTAAATTAAACAAAAATCTTACAACACTTTTATTAACTTAATTTCTATAATATAAACTCAACCTCTATTAAATTGACTGTAAATGATATAGGGTATTTCCAACTATTTAAATTCATGTAGACTCATTAGAGTTTATTTTTTGAGATTATGTTTTTAAGATGTGTTTCAAAGTAATGACTTTTGAAATAATGTTTTTATCACATAAAGTATTGAAGAATACAAACTCCAGAGACAATCTTAAAAATATATTTAAATTAAACAAAAATCTTACAACACTTTTATTAACTTAATTTCTATAATATAAACTCAACCTCTATTAAATTGACTGTAAATGATATAGGCCCTATATTATAGGGTATTTCCAACTATTTAAATTCATGTAGACTCATTAGAGTTTATTTTTTGAGATTATGTTTTTAAGATGTGTTTCAAAGTAATGACTTTTGAAATAATGTTTTTATCACATAAAGTATTGATTAAATGCCTTACTTTGAGTCCTTTGGCGCGATTAATGGCACGTAAAGGCCTTAAGACCCGTAAAACACGTAATATTTTGATGACAGAAATGGTTCCGCTTTGAAATCCAAATGATATGAGAGAACAGCAAACAACTAATATATCCAATAAATTGAAATAACTTCGACAAAAAGATCCCTTGTGTAGAATTACACCGTAAGTTATTGTCTAAAGTTAAAGTTACGCAATTATTTAAGTAATATACAATACATGATAAGTTTATTTTGTGTTACTACAGTTAACTTACTTTTAATGATATCTCAATTGTAAATATTGTTGTGAAAAACCAGTCGAAATAATTGAGAATCTATTAAAACAAATAAAACTCGCAATTAATCAATACTATGCCAAATTTAGTAATGGTCATAAAACACAATAAACGATAAATACTATATTTCGGGGTGAGTTGGAGTCGAGAGGGTCTTCGGCCGCAAGCATTCCACTGCTTATAAGAATACAACAAAGAACTATATTTCCAAAATAACTGTGATTTATAATCCTATGGCAAAGCACTCGAAATCTATTTGTATGACTGAACACAAAGAATGAACTATATTTCGGAATTGATGGCACTTTTGTGGCAAAGTTTAATTCAGACATTCTTCGAGGTCTGGCACCCGTGTAGTCGCTTGTCTTCTCATCAATGTCTTCATTTTTATAAATGTCGTCATCCGACTCGTCATCATTTTCACCATTACTTTCATTGTCTAAACACATATTTAATTACAAACACCAATGTAAGAGAGAGAGAGAGAGAGAGAGAGAGAGAGAGAGAATTGTATAGAATTCAATGTACTTTTTAGCATTTAATCTGTTTTCGTTATTTTTAGTACTGTTTAGGCATGAGTTAAGCGCACAGAAGAGACATAACGCGAATGAGAGGGAGAGAGAGAGGGAGGGAGAGAGAGAGCTTTACCTTTGGATAAATTTTTTACAAAATTTAAATCATCTTTTATTTCGATAACATTTAATTTCATTTTCAAGCCTTCGGGTCCAATGTTATCGTTAAACTCAGCTGATTCACCATGATTAATTAAATCTAGTGGTTGACCACTTTGACCATCATCCCCTTCTTCTAATTCTTCATCTTCTTCTTTTTCAATGGCTGTCAGACTTTCAGCATCGGCTAAGTTGTCGACAGCGATGGCCAAAAATACATTCAACAGAATATCTATAGATATTTACAATCTTGGTCATATAATATTGCAGTAGCATATAAACAAAATGTTTCGTACAATTTCCGCAAATGAATAGTATAATGAAGTAAACACATGCTAATATTCCCGGTTGGCTAACACCTCCATAAGCATTGATTCCGTCATACATGACTTCATTCCAGTCCTCGCCCGTCAATATCTATATTTCGTATTTATAAACATTAGGTTTGAGATAACTATGAAATGTGATGAAATAGTAATGACACCTGAAATACAGTGAGTAACGACTGCCAGAATGTGTCGAAATTCCATCTAGGTTTCTCTTTCTCTCTGAATGAGAACTTGCCTCCGAAGACTTGCATTCCGAGCAATGAAAAGATGACAATAAATAGAAATAACAATAAAAGCAGAGAAGCGATGGCTCGCATGGAGTTGATGAGCGATGCGACCAAATTCCTCAATGATGTCCAATATTTGGTTACTTTAAATATTCTCAGGAGACGAACACATCTCAACACAGAAACTCCGAGGGGAGGCATAACATCAGTTGTGGTCAACACTACTTCCAATATAGAACTGATGACAACAAAACAATCAAATCGATTAAACAGAGACACGAAATATCCCTGAAAGCCAAGGCTATACATCTTGAGAAGCATTTCTAATAGAAATAGTATAACAAATATCATGTTTGCTATTTCCTGAAACTCATCCAACCATTGCTTCTGTTGGTAATGCTCTGACGCCAGAGTGAGAGTATTGAGAAAAACCAATATAATTACTGTCCAGTATAGGGCTTGAGATTTACATATTTTTCTACACACTCTTCTTAATCGCCGATTCAATCGTCCGAATCTTTTCTTCTCATTTTGCCAAAGAGAAGGCATTTTGTTTGGCTCGCCATTCGTTGGTTCGTTCTCTAGCTTATCGTCGTCGTTGTCGGCGCCCATCCGTTGCAGTGATGCTTCTTTGTCGTCGGGTTCGATGTCCTCCGCCTGAGTGATCCAATCCAGATATCCTCTCAGGTCTTCTTCGATTTGTTGCTTTTCCCTCAGCTTTTGAAAGTCTCCGCGAGATTTGGCTTTTTCTCTCTCCTTAGAGAACTCTCCGCTCAAAACTCCGAGAACCAGATTCATGACGAAGAATGAGCCCAATATAATGAGGCTAATAAAATAAATCCACGGCCACTCGTTGCCCACCGAATCATTGATATTGTACAGAACATTAGTCCAGCCCTCGTTTGTCACGCACTGGAAAACCGTAAGCATTGCTAAACCAAAATTATCAAAGTTTGTTATGCCTGTGTTGGGGCCCTCCCAGTATTCTTTGCACTCATATGGCGGCTCACATGGATAGGCACCTCCACAAGGAGTGGGATCCGGAGTAATTTCACCTTAAAGTCCAATCATATACATGTAATACATATAATAAAGCATAAAGCAATATTGGTATGTGTTATGAAGTACCGGTATGGTTGTGAAAGCATGCCATATGCATACGGCCAACAAATAGCTCTAATCCAATGATAGCATAGATGACAATCACAAATATGACAAGTAATGCGATGTGAAGTAAAGGCACCATTGCTTTGATAATGGAATTTAAGACGACTTGAAGACTGGGCACTCCCGACACTAGCCTTAAAGGCCTCAATACACGGAACGCTCGCAACGCCTTCACGTCTATGCCTTCGGTGAATAGAGAGGCCAAGAAAGTGCTCACGAGTCCAATCACTACTATTACGAAGTCTAACAAATTCCAAGCGCTCCTTAAGTAAGCGCCCGAATGCATGAATAGGCCGTACGCTATAATCTTCATAAAACACTCCACTGTGAACACCACTAAAAAGAAATATTCCACTTTTTCCTATTAACAAACAATTTCCACCCATTATTTCATTTCACATTTCTATATCCATATAAATCTGCATTACTATCAAGTATAGTACAAAATGTTAGATATTATATAATGTACATAATGTTAATTTTATTTAATTTTATCATTTTTAACTACAAATCAGTAACAACTTTTAATCTAGTCTTTAATTGTATTTATGTATAATTATTTTATTTTATTAAATTCAATTCACTATTTATTGTAAAAGTTATAAGCCAGGCCAGTAATTTTTAATTATTGTATATCTATATATACTGTATATTGTATTGCTAACGTAACATAGTATAATTATAGTTTTAATAGATACTGTATATAACTACAGTATGTATATTTAAGAAATTCAACATATTAAAGTGAGTGAGAGAAGGAGAGAGTGGTTCGCAAATGCGGGCCCAAAGTGCCAGAAAAGCCCGAACGGGCCCTCTATTGCCTAACACTTAAAAATCCGATCCGAAAAATATGCATTAATATCGTTGAATGGAAACCCATTTCTATTTATTGTCATCATTTCATTGCTCGGAATGCAAGTCTTCGGAGGCAAGTTCTCGTTCAGAGAGAAAGAGAGAGAGAGAGAGAGAGAGAGATACATTTATAATATAATATTGGTAATTAAAGTAAGCAAACATAGCGTCAGTTATTCAGTACAATATAGGATATAGAATACTCACCAGAATCTGGTTTGTGTTGTTTGTGTCTAAATATGGATAAGGAGTATAAACGCCGAGTGCTATACAGTTGAGACATATGGTCACTAATATAAGCCATTCAGTGGGTTTCCATTCAACAATATTAATGCATATTTTTCGGATCGGATTTTTAAGTGTTAGGCAATAGAGGGCCCGTTCGGGCTTTTCTGGCACTTTGGGCCCGCATTTGCGAACCACTCTCTTCTTCTCTAGGGTTTCCATTCAACGATATTAATGCATATTTTTCGGATCGGATTTTTAAGTGTTAGGCAATAGAGGGCCCGTTCGGGCTTTTCTGGCACTTTGGGCCCGCATTTGCGAACCACTCTCTTCTTCTCTTGTGTTTGCATTTATGGACAGTTAATCATTAAACGACTTTATTTTTCAAAATTACTTATTTTATATAAAACATATTAGAAATGACAATGATTACATTTATAATATATATCAAATGTCATACTTTTAACAACAATAGCATAACATTTTAATCATAAATTAATAAAGCGTTGAGACTGTTGGACAAAATTATGGTCAGATTTCAATTACTATAATTGTATAGAATTCAATGTACTTTTTAGCATTTAATCTGTTTTCGTTATTTTTAGTACTGTTTAGGCATGAGTTAAGCGCACAGAAGAGACATAACGCGAATGAGAGGGAGAAGACATCCTTTAAAGTATTGCAAACTTTACCACAGAATCACAAGAATTGTATGAATGCTTTTCTATGACCCAAAAAACATCTGAAATTTCACATGAATTGCATTGAGAGCTGAGAGCATGACTGATGTGACTCTCAATCTCTTGACTTTCATCTGCTCTATAATTCTTGTCATCTCTTATATCAAACTTGTGATCAATTTTGCAATTGTTAAGAGTGTTAAGACCTCTATGTTCTCAATAAATGACTAAAATATTATTCACATACTGTAATTGATTAGAATTTATGACAAAATATTGGATCATTTAAAAATTTTACTATGATACTTATAGTGGGCTCGAAATGATGAAAATAGCATCACAAAAACCCAAACCTTATTTAAAAAATGAAATATATATAACAAAAATAACCCAACGATGCGATACATTAACCACAATTCGAGTATTCAAAGAATACATTAGCACTATCTACACTGTATATTCTACACATTTAATACATTTATAGAGCCTATAGATTTGTCATAGACTTAGCATTGCCCATAGGATTAGCGTTAGTTCCATAGACTTAGCGTTGTCCAAAGGTTGGCATTATTAAATATCTATTGGTTTAAAGTTTTAATTAATATTCTTCTATATTAAACATAATATAATTTGAAAATACATTTAAACTTTATTAAACTTTATTTAGAATATTTGTATATCATAACACATTATCCATTCTTGTCATATTCTGGCAATTCCGAAAGTTGGCAGTTGTGGGTCATAGCATGGTCATTTTTAATATTGAACAATACCAAATGTGCAGTGGATAAATGTAAAAATAATAATTTTAAATGCTTACAGTTTAAATTGTATCTATAGTATAAGTCCTATACTATTGTATGGATTGCTTGGTCACATTGGAAATGTACATTGTACAATATTGAATTGAATGCAATACAAAAATGCAAATCAAGTGCAACTTGTACAGTGCAACTTGTACAGTGCAACTTGTGCTAAGCTAACCCATCATCATATCATTACATAATTGTAATTTAAAAAGTGTGCCATAAATGACGTAATGGTTCTAATAGATTGAATTGTCAATTGTGTACAATTGTGTTGTAAAGTGTATGCAATAGTATTTGATTGGTTGACAGCATTTATACGTTGCTTTTGTTGACTCACTTTCTCTATATATATGTGAGATAATGACGATAACACATACAGTCTGTACTCCAATACATAGAAAACACTTGCATTCGAGTACAGCATCACTCATAATGAGTGCAATGAGACGACAGGTGTGTGAGAGTTGAATAGCTTTATAGCATTATAGCATTGATTGAGTCTTTTGTTGCTTTCATTGAACTCTGACTCAAACTATCGATTGAAGGAAGAGATGAAGTGATGTAATGATGAAGACATCAACGAAGACATCACTGAAGACGTGATGGGAAGCAGTGTTAGGACAATGGGGTGTGAAGTGGTGTTGTGTTTGGTGTACACCATGTGTGCGGTGACAGTGGTGTGCATACCATTGCATATTCCTCGTCAGCTCAATAAAGGCGGACAAATGATATTCAACGCCAGTTGTGAAGACTCGCGCATCTATTCGCTGGACTTATCGCTCAGCGATTCCAATGCCCACCGCTTTGTCTCCATATCGAGTTTGGATGGTTTGGTGGCACTCAAGTCGTCGCTGGTGTGCAGTAGTGATCACATCCAACACGTGTGTCCCTTCCCGTTGATGGTGTCCATTCGATCGGACAGTTTCCGAGTGACCACTTCGGCGACCAAAGTGACCATCATTTCGCTCGATATCTACTTTTCGCACGAGTCGTGTCCCACTTCTCGCAACTATACCTCAAACTCGCACTCTTTGGCACTCATTGTTGTAAATGATGACAGGGTTTGTGCGAAGAAGTCTCAGTTTTTGGCACATTTACCACTTCTGATGCCTCATTCACTCAAATCTCAGTGTCTGATAGACTACAAGCCCTCTATCACTGCCTTTACCGGTGATGACAACAATATTGGCATTGAATACTCAGTTGAGCGCAACTCATCTGATTTGGTCTCTTTGAGTGAGAAGTGCATTGATTTGAATCATTTTACTTTTCTTCTGGATTTATCATTGGATTGCAAACCATTTGACAATAAAATGGCATCAAATGAAACACGGATCAGGGATGAGATGACACAAGTGCTTGAAATAACTTTTATGACCAGAGACTCGGATTGTGATCAATATTTGGAGACATTTAAGTCACGGCTTAAAAATAATCGCATACGAAGTCGAAGTCGACGCGAATCAACAAATTCTGAGCCCTTTTTTGATAAATCCTTATATATAGTGAGTGTCGCCGAAGAGAAGGAGAAGGGATATATAGTGACCACAATGACTGCTTCCGATCGCGAGACCACTGACTTGTTATATCAAATGAGTGCTGTTTTAGACGCTCGAAGTCAGAGTATGTTCTCAATTGATTCGTCCTCAGGAGTGATCAGTACCACCGCTCGACTCGATCGTGAGCTGATGGACGTTCACTACCTGCGAATCACAGCTGTGGACAATGGAGTTCCCGCCCGATCGGGAACCACAACCCTTCAGATTAATGTGAACGACGAGAACGATCACTCGCCTGTCTTCGAGTTGGCCTCTTATGACGCCAACATCAGGGAGTCTTCTCCCATATCTACCACTGTGTTGACAGTTAGAGCTACTGATGCTGATAGTGGTGTTAACTCTGATATCGAGTACAGTATTGTGAACCCAACCGGAGTTAATGAAGCGTTTAAAATAGACTCACATTCAGGAATCATTACAACGAGAGCAGCACTCGATCGCGAATCCGTTGACTTCTACTCCCTTACAATCCAGGCCTCGGATTCCGGTTCTATAAACACCCGGCGTTACTCTCAAACAGCGGTTGCCATTAAAATACTCGACGATAACGATAATTACCCCCAATTTTCTGAGCGATCATATTCTGTACAAATCCCTGAAGACATTAATTATCTGAATCGTCCCGTTATTGCAAGAGTCAGTGCTTACGACTCGGATGAAGGACTCAACTCTGCCCTCAGGTACTCAATAATAGGAGGCAATACTCAGGGAATGTTTCAAATGGATTCACTGAATGGCGAAGTAAGTGTTATGTCACCTCTGGATTACGAAACTTCTCATTCCTATCGCCTGGTGTTGAGAGCACAGGACGCGGGAAGTCCTCCGCGCAGTAATACAACACAATTATTGATTAATATCATTGATAAGAACGATAACGAACCCAAGTTTTACACGAGTCTATTCCAAGAAACCGTTTTAGAGAACTCTGCCATCGGTTCCAGTATTGTTCGCGTTCAGGCATATGATGCGGACGACGGCAGCAACTCTGCCATCAATTATTTGATCCGTAACTCCAATATAGTTGATATGCCCATTGCTATCGACAACCAAACGGGTTGGGTCTTCACCACGAGAGAGCTCGACTGGGAAGAGTCCAGTCTTTATGAGTTTATAGTTGTTGCTCAAGACAACGGTTCGCCGCCCCTCTCGGCCACAGCCAATGTTATTATTCGTGTCCAAGACTTGAACGATAATCTACCAGTTTTTGCTCCCAAACTATACGAAACAACAGTGAGTGAAGTCGACGCCGTCGGCTCTCCTATCATATCAGTGACCGCAACGGATAAGGACGAGAACTCGAGACTCATTTTTCAGATCTCGAGCGGCAATACTAGGGGTCGGTTCAGTATAATCACTCAGAACGGACAGGGATTGATATCAATCGCACAGCCATTGGATTACAAGGCAGAGAAGAAGTTTGTGTTGAGTGTGACGGCTACCGATTCGGGCGGGAAGTCCGATACGGCCACTGTTTATATCAATGTTACCGACGCTAACACTCACAGACCTGTGATAGAGAAAACTCCGTACGCTATAAGCATTCCTGAAGACACTCCTTCGGGAACCACTGTCCTCGTGATTGAGGCAACCGATGGTGACGTCGGAGAGAACGCGAGAATTACTTTTCAAATGGACGACGTGAAGGAATTCCGTATTGACTCCACTTCTGGAGCTATTGTTACGACCCGAGCGTTAGATAGAGAAGAAACTGGCGGTTATACTATTGTTGTGAGCGCTTTAGATAACGGAATTCCTCCGTTGGCCGACATTACGAACGTTGAAATAGAGATCGCAGACGTGAACGACAACTCACCAGAATTTGTGCAAAATGTTTACACCGTCTCTATTACTGAAGACTCACCCATTGGTAGTAGTGTTGTACAGATCAGTGCCATTGATAGAGATTTGGGCCTAAATGGACAGTTGAGATACACATTCTCGGGCGGCAATGATGGCAGTGCAACGTTTGTCATCGATCCTACATCTGGTATAATCAGATCCAATAAAGTATTAGATCGAGAAATGACACCTAAATATCAATTGATTGCATTGGGTGTTGACAGAGGGGTTCCCTCTATGTCTTCATCTGTTATCATCAATGTTGTGATCGAAGACTGTAAGTGTTGTACAGGTATTAGACTATAAGAGCATTAAAATAATTGAATTACTTGAAGGTAATGACAATCCGCCGCGTTTTGAGTCCGAGAAGATTCGACTCTATGTTCCAGAAAACAGTCCTATCGGTTGGACCGTCGGTTCCCTCAACGCTATAGATCCGGACGACGGACCCAACGCTAAGATAGAATATTCTATAGTCGGCGGACCAGATATGATGTCATTTACTTTAAAATCTCGGCCTTCAGACAATGGCGCAGAGCTTATCTCTGGCATTGATATGGATTACGAATCACCTAAAAAGGTATATCATATAATAGTGAGGGCGTCTTCTTTGCCCCTAAGAAACGATGTTGACGTCGAAATTCACGTGACAGGTATTTATTAGACAACAGTCTGTTAACAGTATATAACTAATTGCAATTGTGTTGCTGTGAACCAGATGTGAACGATCACCCGCCACTTCTTCGACACTTTTCTATTATATTCAACAATTTTAAAAATTATTTCCCACTCAATCACGTGATCGGACGCATACCAGCATTCGATGCCGATGTCGCCGACCGATTGAAGTATAAGTTTGTTTCGGGAAATAACGCAAACCTTTTGATTTTAAATGAGACCAATGGTAACATCAAACTGAGCCCAAGTCTTAATACAAACGTTCCGATGCGAGCGCTGTTTAGTGTCAGTGTTTCCGATGGTATTAACGAAGCGACGGCAACGTGTCATCTCGTCGTTAATCTCGTTACTGAAGCCATGCTTTTCAACAGCGTTACCATTCGTTTGAATAAGATTTCCCAAAAGACATTCCTATCGTCTTTATTTGACCGCTTTCTCGACGGTTTGGCGGCAATCATTCCGTCGCCCAAAGAAAATATTGTCATTTTCAACACTCAGGTATCAATGATTGCTATTATGTAAATGTTATCATAACTCATGTGTAACCAATTGCAGGACGATTTGGAAGATGATTCGCTTATCCTTAATATCAGTTTCTCTGCTCGTCTGCCCGACAATAGAGATTCAGAATCGTATTATTCGCCACAATATCTTCAAGAGAGGGTGTATTTGAGTCGAGCATTACTTACCAAATTGACAGGACTTGAGGTACAATCGTATAGTATTTTAATATATACGGTATACTCTAATGAATGGCTTGTAATCAAATAGGTGTTGGCGTTTGACGACAATTTGTGTGTTCGTGAGCCATGTCTTAACTTTGAAGAATGTCTATCAGTTCTCAAGTTTGGCAACGCATCTGATTTTGTTTCCTCCGACACAATACTATTCCGTTCAATAAATCCGGTCAATACATTCGCTTGTCGTTGTCCTAAAGGATTTCAAGGTATGTCTCCATCCGTTATTCTTTAACTTTACTTACAAGTAGTACATTGTGCTGACCGTGTGATTGTGAGTACAGTTATGTACTACAGTATAATGCATGTCCAGTATAATTGATTGATATGGTATTAAAATGATACCATCGTAAAATGATTACACAGTATTTCGCCATTTATAGTTTATCGCTTGATTTTATAAAATATTTACGTAAAACTATGTTAACGAATCAAATTCAACATTCAATTGATTGTTCATTCAGTATTAGTATTACTTTTGAGTTGGTTTTATCAATATATAAATACTAGAATTGTTTTAATTCACTCAACAGGAATGCAACACAAATATGAATGCGATACTGAAATTAATTTATGCTTTTCGGGGCCGTGTCTTAACGGAGGTGTTTGTGTACATCAAGAGGGAAGTTATGTTTGTCTATGCAATGAGGGCTTCGCCGGAAAGAACTGCGAAATCAATTTTGCTTTAGACCACTGCAGAAGTGGTTTATGTAAAAGCGATTCCCATTGTGTTAACTCGAGAAGTATGAAAATCAAAGCAACGCTTGGCATCAGTAGCTTCCAGTGCCTCAACTGTTCCCTCGAAGAATGGAGTACTTCGTTGTGCGAACTCAAGACTCGTTCTTTCTCTAAGGGCTCATATCTGACATTCTCTTCATTACGACAACGCCATCGACTCAACATTCGGCTTACATTTGCCACTCGACTCTCAAATGCTTTACTCTTATATAACGGCCGATACAATGAGAAACACGACTTCATTGCACTCGAAATTATAGACTCGAAAGTAGTATTCAGTTTCTCTGTTGGCGCTAACATTAGCAAAGTTACGGTTCAGTCAGCAATGGGTGTTATAAATGATGGTAAATGGCATCAAATAGAAGTGAATTACTTGAACCGCACGGCAACACTCAAACTCGACAATTGCGACGACGCTCTCCTTAGAGCTGTCCATAGGAATCAGTTATCGTCGAAGTATATGTGCGCCAACACAACAGTACTCGACTTAGAGCCGCGCTGTTCCGATAAAATGCAGACTTGTTATCGATTCCTAGACTTGACGGGTCCGCTACAGATCGGAGGACTTCCACAATTGCCAACTCGTTTTCAAACTACTCATAAAGACTTTGTCGGATGTATTACTCAACTTTACATTGACCATCAAATGGTGGATCTCAACTCATACGTAGCCAACAACGGCACAGTATCCGGTTGTGCCCATAAGCATAGGTTTTGTCAATCGCAACCTTGTCTTAATGGTGGCACTTGTCGAGAGCGTTGGGGATCGTATGTATGCGACTGTCCCAACACATACACCGGTCAAGACTGTAGTCATTCAAACGAAGTGGTGAAGCAATTCAGAGGCGATTCGTTTTTATCGTTCACACCTCGTTTGCGTCCTCTCAGTCTGCCGTGGATTATAAGCTTCCAGTTTAAGACAATTATGTCAAACGGGTTGCTCTTGAGATTGCAATTGGGGCACAACAGTGTTGTCGCTATTCAAATACACCATTCAATTATCAAATATACTTACAATTTAAACAATATAACTATTGATGACGCCTTTGTAAACGATGGTAAATGGCATCAAATCGAAGCCAATTGGATGACTAATGGACTTAGACTTAGTCTTGATTTTGGACAATACGTACGATTTCAAGATTTTGAATCTGATATCAATGGACTGTATATCGCAAAAGTGACTGTCGGGGGACTCGAGCCAAATGAACACCTGAACGAAGAAAATCAATTTGAGCCGTTCGTTGGTTGCATTCAAGCGCTAGATGTGGGCAACAGTAAGGATTCGTGGCTCAGACCCTCTCTCCAGAATAATGTGGATGAGGGCTGTATTGAAGGCAATCCCTGTTTATCCAATCCATGTCCACTTAACGGCAAATGTATAGTCAAAGCATTTTCAGAGTATGAATGCAAATGTAATAGTGGTTTTGCGGGCGATGTTTGTACACCAATATGTGATTTAAATCCGTGTGCTTTTGGTTCAACGTGTTTACTATGGAATAATAGTCGTGGATATAAATGTCAGTGCGATCGACACCATACAGGGCTCTTATGTGAAGACTTACTGCCCAAAACATGTCCATCCAATTGGTGGGGATATCCGATCTGTGGTCCCTGTAATTGTGACACTACTAAAGGCTATGACGGCAACTGCAACAAGACATCTGGTGAATGTAGTTGCGAACAGAACCACTTCCAGCCCCTCAATAGTGATGTATGCTTTAAGTGCGACTGTTATGGCACCGGTTCTTACATGAGTCGATGCGATCCTACCAGTGGTCAGTGTAAGTGCAGGCCTGGAGTGATTGGTAGGCGTTGTGACTCGTGTCCGAGTCCTTTCGCAGAAGTCACACTCAGAGGGTGTGAAGTGATTTACGACGGCTGTCCGCGTGCTTTCAATGAGCAAGTTTGGTGGGAACGCACTCTTTTCAATGCACAAGCAGTACAGTCCTGTCCCTCGGGCTCTATCGGAAGCGCTGTGAGACAATGTTCTGAAACCAATGGCTGGATGGCAGCCGATCTGTTTGACTGCACTTCAAATGCATTCATCGAATTATCAGACCAGTCAACACTGCTTGAGAAGAATGAATTCTTGATTACTTCCCATCTTTCTATTAAGATCTCAAATGATTTAATTAATGCAATCAATAACACAGAAACTCTTTATGGAAGCGATATATTAATTGCATACCGATTGATAAGACATATGATTAATAATGAATTAAAACAAAAGGGTTTAAATCTGACGCATAAACAGGACCGACATTTCATCCGAAATTTGGTCGAATCCACGTCTTCTCTGTTAGAGCCGAGATATGCCTCACTTTGGGAGAGGATCTCCGAAAAGGAAAGGGGAGCCGAATATTTGCTCAAACTTTTCAATAGTTATCTGGAAGTGCTAATTGACAACCAAATGGACACATTTACGGATCCGTTTGAGATTTCTGCCAAATGGATGACATTAGGTTTGGACACTGTGTCGAGTGACCAGTTGTGGGATATGCCTAAATCGTTGCACTCATATGTCAACACAAGTGCTTTATTACACTCTTCTGTGCCATCCATTTATCTTGATATGAGTCTACCTTTAGATTCAAGTCCTTCTGTTTCTATTCCAAAATATAATAACTTTCCGATACGGAAGCAAAACATTGATGACATCACCAAAGTTTTTATACCACTTAAGACTTTGGCCGTTAAAACTATTGAAGAAATTGCGTCAAATCCTATGAATGCATCGTTTGATAGACAACCAAAAGCCGACACTGCGATCGTTGGTTACGCTATATTTTCTTCTTTGGGTCAAATTCTCCCCCCTATTGTTGATTCAAGTGTTCGGTAAATATAATAAATTTGATTAAAATTGATATAAAATTGTAAATATATTTATTAATTTAGACACCGATTTGGACAACCGATTCGCGCAAATTCACCCATATTTTTGCTGACCATTAAACCTCTAAATGGGACCAAATTTGTTAATAAATCAATTGTGCCTAAACTTCATTTCCGAATGCGAACACTTGATCGTAATGGTAGAAGTAGTCCTCAATGCGCGTACTGGGCCTTCAACTCCAATGCCAACTCTCGGTCCAAGTCATCGTCGGGTCAGACCCGCGGCCGTTGGTCTTCCAAAGGTTGCGAAGTGAAAGGCTTTCATCCGACTAACAAATATAGACTTTCTTATGATTACGTCAACTGTTCTTGTGATCGGGCCATCGGTGTCGCTGTTCTTATGGATTTAACTGCTAATGAAGTATTATTTTAGATTAAACTTAACTGAATAACAATTTCTAATTATACTATTAACCTGTTATTTATTTTAGTATTTTGTGAGCGAGTCATTAGCACAAGTTGTTGTATCATATTTTGGTTCAATTGTTTCGTTGCTATTATTGGCGTTTACTTTATTTGTATTGACGGCCATTCGAGGCATTGAAACGAATAGCAATTCCATTCACAGACATTTGGTGTTATGTCTATTGTTGGCCGAATTTATATTTTTGGTGGCACTTAGGATTCGGTCCACTTTAGTTCAAAAAGAGGTTTCACACAATTCTACACTAAATATTTGTTATATTTTTATGTTATGTAACATTAATTAATTTTTATTTAAAATATAGTTTGGCTGTAAAATGACTGCAATTAGTTTGCAATATTTGTTTATGTGTCTCTTTTCATGGAGTTGTGTCCAAAGTATACATTTATACCGAATGTTAACCGAAATTCGGGACATAAATCACGGACCCATGAAGTTTTACTATTTCATTGGATACGTGATTCCGGCGATTATTGTTGGCCTTACAGTTGGTGTTCGTGCCGATCAATACGGCAACTATATCTTGTAAGTCAACTCAAGTCATCATTTTATAGAAAACTTTTATTCTTATATTTTTTTAATTACTAGTTGTTGGCTCTCTATATATGAAAGTGTTGTCTGGAGTTTAGTCGCTCCCATATGTATAGCCATTATTGTGAGTATAAGTCTAACTATTAAAATGCGATACATTGTTATTATTAATCTGACACTTAATAAACAATTGGTGTAATTGTAGGTAAATCTTGTGGTATTCCTTTTGGCACTTCAGGCCAGTGTGCAAATCAAGGAGACTGTTAGTGATTATGGAAATCTTAAGACATTGTTATGGCTTAGTATTATTTTACTACCACTTCTGGGCTCGGTCTGGATTTTGGCACTTCTTTCAGTCAACGATACTCTTGAAGAGCTTCACTACGGCTTCTCTCTCATGTCTCTAATTAGTTCTATCTATATATTTGTCGGCTATTGTCTCATTAACCATAGAGTCAGACATAATATTAGGGTTCTTTGGGCCCGACTTAGAGGGCGCAAAGGTGTATACGTTGACGACAGCTTAAGTGGTACGAGAACTTCAGTGGCCTCACGTTCGGCGCCTACTTTTCACAATTCGTCATTTGATGTTTTGCATCGAAATATGACAATATGTGCCTCTTCTACCACCAGTCGCTCCACTGTCACCAAAACGTCGAGCACAGCCTTTAGGTATAGCCCGCATATTCAGTATAATTTATAGTATATTATAATCAAGTATACAATGTATTATAATATATACTCAATGTCTCACTTAATTAATACCTATTTTATAATTTTATAATTTTATAAACCAGACATAAAAGAAGACATACTTTGAATGCAGAGCACTCAGAGTCTGATAGCGATGTGTCTTATGATCGCTCTCTAGATCTGGCGTCAAGTCATTCATCAGATGAAGACGACAATAGTTGTGCTCCAAAACAAAACCGAATCAATGCTGAGATTCAACAAAACCATAATATATTTGGAGACACTTCTGTTAACTCATCCCTATTTGCACGACCATTGCATGTGTCGGATGCACAGCATGTGTACCCAAAGTGGTCGCATATAGCCTCTCATTCAGTGCCATCGCCGTCTCAAACCTCTCCCATCACAGAATGCGGCCCTTTCTTAAGCAGCAGACCTTACTCTCGGTCTAACATACTTGCCATGACTGCTGGCCTTTCAGCTGATTCTTTAGCAGCTCATCAGAACATAACTAATAATGAATTGAATGCATTGAATACATCGTCTCAAGCCATCAATGTATTCACTTCGAGCTCACATAACAGTGAATCCCTTTTTAATAATAATGATAATAATACTCAACATTTAGAGGCAAACATTAATTTAAGTGAAGACATGGATCTTAATATTAAATATGATAACAACGGCTCCTCTAAAGCCCACTCTATTAGTGAAATACTCATCGATGAACGAGAGGTCATTGACCACAACAGCACATCGACTCTCGACTCCAGCAAAGAGATGGACCCGATTCAGGAAGACGTCACACAATCACTGCCACAACAATCCATCATTTCTTCTGTTGATGAGGAGGCAGCTGTCAATAGTGTCGCTCCGACACCACTCGTCCCTATTAACTCCACCCCACACCACCAATAAGTCTCTCTCTCTCTCTCTCTCTCTCTCTCTCTCTCTCTAACATATATTTGCATAACAAAACACTTTTGTATTAAAATATGATTGTATTGATAGGAAAGCAAATGTTATTCAATCTCAATATATTCTCTCTATATTTTTCGTTTATATTTTTGATTGCATTTATTTTTTTAATTTTTGGAGTTTTACAGCAATTTAATGTACAAAAAAGACATTTCAATCATTTAATACATTCCACAAAACTTAAAGTAATAATTGTTATAATTTTCTATAATTGTTTTATTTGTGATTTGAATGATATCTTAATTTTTGCACAATTTATTGGTGACGGCATTCACTTAATTTATTAGTGATATATAATATAACATAGATTATTGTATGTATAGTAACTTAATTTAATTTATATAAAGTGTCATATCATACAACTATTTTAAATTTACCATTAAATGTGTTTATATGTTCACATCTAATAGTAATAATCATTGCTTTCCAGTTATAAATATCAAATATTTTTAACTATAAATTCTCATTTGGTGTATAAATAACTCAAACATGTATTAATTTATTAATAAAATTACATTCTATGATCAATTTTTGCAACAACTGGTCGATATAACCGGTTATTATCGAAGCACTGGAGAGAGCACCGGGAGTGTGGCCGCCGGTGTGTAGGCCAACTCCATTGTAGGTTTGTGTTTGCATACAGTATTTGCAATATTGAAATCATTTGCTTTCTGTACAACACATGTCTTTATGGTTGTCTGGTTCTCACAACTCATTCACCACTTTATGAATTCTCAATTTTATATTACAGGAAATCACATCTCATTTGAATACATTTCTAAACTATAAGAATTTCTTAAGTGTAAGCATATCATCAGTTGTTACCGTCAATGTGAAGGGATGGCTCACAAAAGTGGTTAGTATTCAGTGATCACTGATCATGCAATAATCTATATTAATGTTCAATTCATATAATAAATGAGCGTAAATTAATCATGAAATGTGCAAGCTTATATTAAATTTTACTCAAATCAATGTTAGTTATTATAACTTATTAATAATAACAATACGGTATATTTTATAGATTATAAATATTAAATAAATAAAATATGTTCAATATAACATAATTTTGGTAATACCACTACATATGCTGTATATTAACGTAACATTAATTTGGTGTAAACGGTTATGAGAGAACACTTGTCAATGATTACCAAAGAGAACTAAAGAATTAATCACTTATTTGGGCATTAAGTTCATTGAATTTTCTTTAAAAAACTATAAAATGTCCAGGGTCTCACTTGCAAAGTGAATTGCTGAGAGAGAGAGAGAGAGAGAGAGAGAGAGAGAGAGAGAGAGAGAGAGNAGAGAGAGAGAGAGAGAGAGAGAGAGAGAGAGAGAGTTGGGGATATGTGGTGAGTTCGTTGCCCTGTGTTTCCTGAAAATGTTTTTACATTTTGTCCGCTTTAGTAACTGATTAGCGTTTCGGGCAGTGCTGTGATTGCAAGACATGGGATCAGTGTTTGCATTGCAATACACTTATGCGTACAGTGAATGTCATTCGCAATGCAATAATGCATGGATTGGATTGAATGAGAACAGGTCTCTCACAAGAAGATCCGATCCCATCTGATCCCTCCAATACAGTCAAATGATTCACAGTTGCTCTCACTATAACCTTGCAATGATATCGTGGGAATTGTATGACAAAAGTGCCCAAAAGTACCGCTATTTCTCCTCTCTCCCCGTCTCTCTCTCTCTCTCTCTCTCTCTCTCTCTCTCTC